TATAAATATATTTTTTACTTTATTTTAAATTATATTTCACTTAAGAAGAAAAAAAAAATACAATCCCAGGTCGAACAATCCGGCACGGAAACGGCCGATTCCGGAGATTTCATAGAAGCAGTAATCCCATCGAACGAATTTTTCATCACGTTCATCAAAATGAATTGATTCGTCGACCTTTAGAAATGCTTACATAAGTGATGAAATTAAACAATATAAGTCTTACCTTTCCATTTTCTATATATCCATAACCGGCTCTAATCAACATCCAGTGGATTATGATAACTATTTCATCTTGGTAGCTTTTGATACTACATTCGTATAATGACATCATACTATTCAAAAAGGGATACTTATTCATTTTCTAATCTAGAAGAAAAAGATGTACACAAATTAAACCCCACTCTATAATAAAAGAACCCTTCCCCCCATAATAGAAGATCCTTTTGTGAAAATAATGTAAAACCCATAGACCGGATTTATCTGATTTGGGTCGGAACCGGCAGCTGAATACGGTTACCTCACTTCTCCATCGGATTCCGGGCGGGTCCAGCCCGAAAATAGCGAGTTTTCGCAGGGATTTCGTCGGAAATTGATGGAATCCTGCTGCAGGAACCATCGTCATAGGATTAATGATAATAATTATCTTGTTGGTACTTACTGAAAATTCAACGGCAAATATATATTTTTCCATCAAGTAATTTGCTGATACTTTTTTCGTATCTACCATATGATTAATCCATACTCCTTTTTCATCACGTTCATCAAAATGAATAAACTCGTCCACCTATAAAAAAGCATACAACAGTAATTAAATCTAATCAATATATCTTACCTTTCCCTGTTCCACATTACCGAAGCCAGCTTTAATCATTATCCAATGACTTACTATTATTATCTGATTGTGATAATCATTTAATTTATCTTTGTACAATGCAAGCATAGTACTTAAAAATGGTGTTTTATCCATCTGAATATCTAGAAAAAAAAGAAGTACATATATTATATAGAATTTCTTTAATCGAATGAATCGATTCGATCGATCGAATAATATTTATCCATATCTTTTCTCTTTCTATACTTTTCAAATGGACAATAAAATCACATTTTGTTTATCATATTTAATATAGATAAAAGATTCAATGTTAATTTTTTGGTACCCTGACTATTTCTTTCTATTCTCATTCTCGTAGAGAAGAGTCCAGCAGGAATAAAATCGTTTGCTCTTTTGCTTGCATGTGTGTCCGTAGGGTAACAAAAAACATCAAACACCGATTTTCCGGAAAAGACATTTCTTGAGATATTCCGATGTACAGACGTCGAATCTGAGGTCGGGGTGTGTGTGTGGTTGAGATAATTAAGATATTCTTATATTCATACTCACACCCTCAAACACACACCTAAATCGTTTTTCGTGAATTTTCGTTTTTGAATATATTCTATTCCTGCAAGGATCGTCTAAATCTGATTATTTTTTCTTATTAATTTATTGCAATAAAAACTATAAATATATTTTTTACTTTATTTTAAATTATATTTCACTGAAGAAGAAAAAAAATAACATTTTTTGGCAAACAAATTATGATTGCATTTCAATTAATAATGCTTTTTGTATATGTAAATCAAGTATATTCTATATATTAAATTTAGATAATTTTTTCTCTATTTTATACTAATTATTAATTTATATATTTTAAAATATTAATATAAAGGAAGGTTTCCTAAAATGATTATTTAAATTTTCGTTGTTATTTTATTTTCTTCTTTCAAAAGAATACATGACAAATTTTAAATTGAGCCATATTTTTTCTTGCGCATAATCAACGAGTTAATTCATGTATTCGTCTCTTAATATAGTACTCTAACGAGTTAAGTGCTTCGGCTTTACTACAAAAAATAAAACAATATTTAACAAAAACCTTTTTGTTACTAAACTTACTAACTGAGCACATTTTCATGTATATTGAGTGGATATAAAATTGCTGATTTTAAATGCTGAATTAAAAAAGTACAATCCCAGGTCGAACAATCCGGCACAGAAACGGCCGGTTCGGGACTATTCCGAAGATTTCATGGAAGCAGTATTCCCATCCACCATATAATTAATCCATACTCCTTTTTCATCACGTTCATCGAAATGAATTAACTCGTCGACCTATAGAAATGTATACATAAGAATTATATTCAACAATATAAGTCTTACCTTGTCGTTTTCTATATAACCATATCCGCATTTGATTAACATCCAATGTATGATGATGATCATCTCTTCTTGGTAGCTTTTGATGCTACCTTTGTATAATTGCATCAAACTATTTAGAAATGCGTAATTATTCATTTTCTAATCTAGAAGAAAAAGACGTACACAAATTAAACCCCACCCTATAATAAACGACCCCCCTCCCCATAATACAAGACCCTTTTGCAAAAATAACGTAAAATCCATAATAGAAGACCCGGGTCTTTAAATTCACAAAATAATTTTTAAGTTATTATCTTTTTTATGAAATTATCCATATCATTGTGTGTACTGTAGAACGAAAGATGCGGAAGAATTTAAAACATAGTAATAGCTCGTTTATGCACGTCTATATTATGTTTTCTTCACATGAAAATAGACACAAATCGACTAAAATTAAATATAAGAGGAAAGAAACATTTAAAAATGGGGAACGTCTAAAAGAATTATTGATTACAACTTATCTCCATTTAGAATCGTCTGGAGAAGAACAATAAATATATATTTTTTGCTTTATTTTAAATTATATTTCACTTAAGAAAAAAAATTAACATTTGATAAACTAATTATGATTACATTTAAATTAATAATGCTTTTTGTATATGTAAATCAAGTATAGAGTTATCATTAAAACGAAATAATGCTTTTCCTTGATCAAGACATGATTCAATATAAATAATAATTGGTATAAGTGCAATAAATTCTAATCGAGTAAATTTCATTATTTTTATTGTCGAAATAAGATTTTCTAATTCTTTTGTAATACGTTCATATTTACCATTTGTTGTTCGATTCATAATTAATGCAACAAGATTATCAAAATTTATTGTTGATGTTACAGGTGAATAACGACTATCAAATTCTTCGAGTAATTCAACTATATCATCATGATAATAATTAAAATCAACATCATCTAATAATGTATTCCATATATGTGAACTAAATCATTTTAAAACTATTTATATAAAGGAAAAAACAAAATAATCTTTATCTTACTCTTGCTCAGCTATCATATTAACAAGTACAGCTGTAGTATAAAATTCTTGTAAACCAAAATAAGTTATATCACTTGTTATATCATATAACTAAAGGAAAAAATAAATGTAAATAGAACAATTTTAATATGCCTTATTCTGTACTACGAACTGCACGAAAGAATGTTTCTTGAGCACGAGGTAAATTGGATGGTAAACATTTTTGTACTTGAGTATATGTTAGATGCCTAGAATTTTTTTGTAAATAATGATGTTTTAAAAAGTAGTCTTTAGCATACCCATCTTTATCTGTATCAAGTTGTTGAAATAATCGATTTAATTTATTACGATCTGCTTCGCTAAGTAATGAACTTGCAATCATATGCTACAAGTTCAAAGAAAAGAATAAGATAACTGTATCAGAATGTAAGCAGATTAGTGCAAATGATAATGCTAGCAGACGATATGTATTCTTTACTTATATCAACAGCTATTCTCACGAAATAAATATTTTTTATAATTCCTTTTTATTTGTTTCCGTCATATCTTGTGAGCAGTATCCTTGATATTACTAACAGAAGGGTGTGGGTGTAGCTGTCTTCTCTTGACTCACACCCTCAAGATGGTATAAATTAAATTGATAAAAGTAAATGAATACTTTAAGTGGATTGTTTGATTTTGTTTGTATTTGAGAAGTAGCTACTACTGTAACTGTTGATCGACTAAGCGAACTTTCTGATCGGAAGAAAGGCGGTGATTTACATTTAAAATTCGCTTTTTGTGTTAGATTAGCTTTGATCATACGATCTTTTACTACTGGTAAATGTTGTTGTTGAGTAAATAATGTTACTGGATAATTTGATGTGTAAATTGGTAGAACTGGTGTAGGTTGTAAGACAAGTCGATTTATGGGAGTTGACGAAGATGCATGAAAACGTCTGAAAAAATTTTTGAAAATATATCTGGAAAATATATTAAATGTAAAGCATACAGTGAATCTTGAATATTATCTGTTGACTTTGATTTAATAACTAAAAAATATTATATATATAAAATGAAATGTTTGTTCTATGTAATTTACCTGATGATAATTTTTTCGATAATGGAGGTAATTTAAGTGGTGCTGTATCCCGTCCTGTAGTATTACTCGATTGTTGAATTTTTCTGAATAATCTCGGTGATGTTTGATTATTATTTGTAGATGTTTTTTTCAAAATTGTTATAGCTGAATTTAATGTTGCATTTGCTTGTGTTCGTTGTAACATGATCGATTTCTTAAAGTAATACAAATAAATAGTATGATCAAAGAACAACTAAAAAGTTCGATTTTTAAACACTCAAACTGTTATATAACAATCTTGTTCTCTCGCATACTTGTATATTACATTTAATGGAATTTATAATGTGAATGAAAAAAAAGGATTACACACATGTATGATACACGCTCACCTACATTAACAGAATTTTGTGTAGCCGCATTTTGACGATGATTTGAAGAAATAACAGGTAATTTATTCGACGTTGTATTATTGACTGGAAGAGAACCTTGCGAAATCCATGTTCTATAAACAAAATTAATTATCTTTTCTGTTGATTATTTTTTTTAAATCATACACATAAAACTTATAAATTGTTCTATGAGTATTCTTTTTATTTTATACCTTGGATACATATTGTTTTGTGTTTTTTTATTAGCCAAAAACGTTGTTCGTTTTGGTAATTGTAACATAGTTTGATCAACTCTTGATAATTTAAATTTTGGAACAAGAGAAGAATAAACATGTTTCGATGATAATTGATGATTAGATATTTTTGAATTAAAATCTGAACCAATTATTTGAAGCTGTTGTTGTTGTTGTTGTTGTTTTTCAGGTTGTTCAGTTATTGGAATAGGTGGTGTATAATTTTCTTTATAATGTAATACATGATGTTCTTTATTTGTATCAAGATTTGAATTGATCTAATTAGAAATAAAAAAAAAGAAGCGATAGAAAATTTTCATAATTATTTTATAATGTACTTGATTCGAACGTTGAAGAACATTTGACTGAATAAAGAAATTTTTATTTTCTAATAAACAAAAAAAACAACAACAACAACAACAACTTACCAAAGATGTACCAATAATATATTCATATTTAAATTGTTGATGAGAATCAATAGTATTCATTATTTTTCTTTTATTTTTTAAGAAAACAACTTATGATATTATCCTTTTAATTTTTTTCTCTGTGATTCAAAAATGTTATTTTTATTGATCACTCAAATAAAAAAAAGAGAAAGATGAAATAAAGCAAGAAAAACGATCGATGGTAGGAGAAAAAAAATCAGTACAAACATTGAAATCGATACTAACAAAATACACACACAAGTGTATGTATAAACATTGTTGATGAAAAAAGAAAAAGTAATAAAAAAAAAGATCTATAATAACAATAACGATTGTTCGTTTTTTTCTTTCGTTTCTTCTTTTTCTTATAATGTTTGCATCATTTTGGCAGCGTCTTCTTTTGTATTATTTATTTCATTGTTTAAAATTGGTTTCTCCTTACCTAAACAGAATTAATTTTTTATTATTAGTTATTGATGTTAATATATTCTTACTATTCTCTAATTCTTTTCTTTTTTTATATTTAATTATTTGACTTCGAATAACATAAACAAGCCAGAATGGTTTTGTTGTTAAGAAAGCTACGACAAGTGGAACAACAATTGCTTGTGTTGCATAAGGTTGTGGAAATGAATATAATATAATCATGAATGCAATACCAGTATTTTGTATTCCAGCTTCAATACCAACGGTTTTAATATGAATCCAATCAAGTCGACATATCCATGCAAAAAAAGCACCAAGTAAAAATCCTAAATAAGGTAATAATGGTGCTGTTAATGCTGTATATAAATCAATCATTGTAAGTAAATACCAATTAACAATTGTACCAAAAACAAGAAAAAATATTAGAAGAAATAACATCAGTGGCTTAACAAGAGATTCAACAATTTTACGCGTCTTTGGTGAATAATGACTAATAACAATACCAACACTGTATGGTATAACAACAAGTGCCAATGATCGTACAAGACCTAAAAATGGTACACGTATATGTAATTCATCCGTATAAATACGTCCTAATGTATAGAAGTAGAGTGGCATCATAACAAAAGATGTAGCAGTTGATACAAATGACATTACAGCTGATAAATTAACATCACCATCGAACAAAAGTGTCCATTGGTTGGAAGCACCACTACCTAAAAATTTTCTTTTTTATTTGTATAAAAAATATATTTTTCTTTTATTTATACTTTACCTGGACAACATCCAATAACAAATAGAGCAAGACTATATAACGGTGTATATTTAAAAACTTTTGCTATACCCATTGCTAAAAATGGCATTAGACCATATTGTGAAAGAAAACCAACTATAACTGGTTTAGGTTTTTTAACAAGACCAATTAAAAGTTTTGTATCAAGTAATATACCCATTTGTATTGAAATAAATACTATTAAAAATGGTAATATCATCATAAACACACTATCTATTGTACGTTTCGGTTGTATAACAAGAACTTTTAATGACCATGTATAGGATGATTTAGAATCATCTTTATAAAATACATCCATAACAAATGTTAAGATTGTTTCTTCCATCCTCGTACTTTCTATTAACCATGTTATATCAATTGCTAATTGATTATCAAGATGAATTAATGTCGGCGATGGATAAGCATTAAATATATGACCAAGTGCATTTTTTTCAGGTACTATAAATAAAATCGGACTTTATTTGATCATAAAATTTCAAAACTGGATTTTATTAACATAATTTATAAAAGAAAGTCAAATAATTTAAACACATTTATGAGACAAAAGTACAAAGATAAGAATGAAAAAAAGTATTATGAATATATGTAGTCATGATATGACATTGTTGAAGTATCTATTCATTTTTATTATGAAAGTATTATCAGTATCATATCTGATTAAAATCAACAGAAAATAAAACTACAATAGTTTACTGAAAACTATTCATCTATTAGTGATACATATTTAATAAGTTTAATATTATGAGAACGTATTTAAAGGTTACGAAGACTTTAATATCTACCTTTGCATGTGGAAAGATTTTATCTTGTTTTTTATTCCCTCGACGTACGAAAATATGTCATACTTAAAGAATGAAAAACATGCATTGAAAAGGAATGTTTAATTTGATTAGAAAGACTTAAAAGCTTATGAATTAATTGCATAAAGAAAAATTCGTATTCTTTTAATCTTATACGTAAAAATCCTATTTTAAACTTCTCAAAAGTTTGCAAATTATCGAATTATAATAAAACTATATACTTACAGATAAATAAATCTTCTAGTAAGACATTATTTGAATTATTTGCATTTACTTCTTTTGTTGGTGCCATAACTTCTTTTTGAATACGCACTATTCGAGTATCTGTTGTTTGAACTTGAAATTTAAATCCTACAATCTTATTGTTTTTGATATTTTTGTTACCACGAAGCTCATCTGGATTAATTCGTATTGTAACATAACGTTTTTGAAAGAGAGGTATTTGATAAGTTTTATTAGCATAACTTTGTAATTGTTCTACATCTTGATCATCGTTACTATTGGTTTTTTTAATAAATATTTCAACTGTATGAGCATATTTCACAGTGATTAGAAACAAAATTAACCATTTTATCATGTATCTTCCTTGCATTTGGTTTGATAAATGTTTTTTTTATTTTGTTTTACTAGATTCTTATCATATAATAATGATGTTCTTTTTCTTTTCGTATTTTTTTTTATTACAAAGCGAAGCAAAAAAAGATACTCGTACAAAGAACGACAAGAAGATAACAAGACACAACATAATATTGACCATATAAAGGTTTGCAATTTTCAATATCGACGACTTATATATAACTTAAAGTACGAATGTTATATAATCCATCAGTAAAATTAAATCACTGGTTTTTTTGATCTTCATGCAAAAGAATAGTTTATTACGAAAGTTATAAGAAAGGATGAAGTCATTGAGTAAAAAAAACTCTACTTAAGACATTAACTTGATAATTATATAATATCTTTGCATCATATATGTTAATATCGATTTAATATGATTGATTACATACAAACTTAACTTCGTATGAAAATCGCGATACTGACTATATGAGATACAGTTTTGCTTTTGGTATAAATAGGATATATTACATACTATCAAACTTTAATATCAATGAATCCAGTTAATTGAATACTAATATTTCAACTTATCGTATGTTCTAATTGACATTTTTTATTTTGATACATATTAAACAAAATCTTTCACTGGATCATGATAAATATTGAAGTAATTCATTATGAATGGTACGTGTAACATAAAAAAGAACTGGAAAATAAGTGTAAATAATAGCTTTGTAACACTTTTTAATGTGAAAAACTAAAAGACAGACGAAATACAAATATTTATCTCGTGATTATGACTCATTCCAACATGAGAATTTTCTATTCTTATCAGTCTGTAAATATAAATATACTCGGTTTTTTGTCTTTCACTATCTTAATAAAAACAAAAGACTTAAAGTATCCTACAATAATGGCTACACCACCTGCTCCAATTAGCCAATTAAATATTCTGATAATTGGTGATAGCGGAACTGGTAAAAGTTCTTATATCAAAAGACTTCAACAACAAGCATTCTCTCATGATACTACTAGAACTGTAAATATAATTTTTGTTTTTCCTTAGAAGTTTTATTTATCAGCTCCATTTTTTTTTCTAGAAAGAATGTGATATTCTTACAATAAAATTAAAAACTAATCAAGGTGCTGATATTTCAATAAAAATATTTGTACAAAAGTGATCTAAAATAAATTTATTCTTAATAAAATAACTTTCTATTTATAGAATATTGCTGGTTCACAACGAGGAAAAACAAAAATAAACGAATATTTTAAGAACATAGATGGATGCATCATTATGTTTGATTTATCTCGTCCAGAGACATATGATAATGTATTAGGATGGCATAATGACATTCGAAATGTAAATAAATCAGATGATTTGCAATGGATGCTTTTAGCAAATAAAGTCTGTCTAATTAAAAGTTGATAGTTTTCATTTTTTTCAATAGTTAATGTTTTTTTTTTTTTAGTGTGATCTTGAGAAAAGCCAAGAATCTGATTATGCCATAGGTAGTATGAAAGATTACTGTCAAATGCTTGGTTCTTGTTGTTCTTTTGAAACATCAAATAAAGAAAATATCAATATTGAAAAATCGTTGAAAACGTTGATCGACGAAGTATAAATCTGAGAATATTAATATGATTTTATTACTGTTTCTTTTTAAGATAATTAAACGAAAAAAACCGTCAATATCGATACCACTCGAAAACGAGAAACGAGAATATCGATTCAAAGTTTTAGTTATTGGTGAACGTAATACTGGCAAAACAGCGATTATAAATCGCTACACAAAAAATACTTTTTCAGGAACCTATCGCACTACCGTATGTTATATTTATTTAATTAGAATATAGTTTATTAAATTAAATCGCTTAGATTGGTGCTGATTTAGCTGTTCAAAAGATTCAATACGATCCCAATACTATTGTTCATCTTCATATTTGGGTTTGCAGATATTCATAATTATTTTTCTTTTAAAAATCACATTATTTTTAATAAGGATATCGCCGGTGAAGAACGATTTGGAGGTATGACTCAATTATTTTACAAAGACGCAGCTGGCTGTCTTATCGTGTTTGATATAACTACACCAGTAAGCTTAACGAACAGTGCAGCAAAATGGAAAGATGATTTTGATAAAAAACTTGATATTCATGAGAATAATCAAGTGCCATGTTTACTTATTGGCAATAAAGTAAAATATTTCTTTTGAAAATTAAATAATTCTATAATTATTATAGTGTGATTTAAAAAGAGACGGTACTGACATCAATGAAGATTTTATAAATGAATTTTCTCGTAGACATCAATTCACTGATTACTTAGCAACATCCGCCAAAAATAACATCAACATTAAAGAAGCTTTTTCAATTCTTCTCGGCAAAGTAAAATGAAAAACAAATATTTATATTTCAAAACTAGCGTGATGTTTATAGATGTTGGAAAATATTGACACTGTAAGATGTCTACGAAGGAGAACTTC